ATTCGCCCGAGGTCCCCCGCAGCCCCGCGCCTGGCGCCGAGTCTCGGGTGAGCAAGGACGGCGGGCAGGGCAGGAGCGGGTAGGGCGGCCGGGGCAGCGGGGCCAGAGCCGGCCTTTGTGCGGGCGGCAGGGGGAAGGCGCGCTCGGCGCTGGCTCCGGCCCCGCTGTCAAAGACGCACGGCAAAATTTACGACCCTGCTTGCGAAGGAGCTGAGGGCCTTTCACCGCCGCTGGGACCGGGCAGCGGCTGCCCTGACAGATGCATTGTTTCCTCCGCGCTGCTCCGCGCCTCCCCGCGCAGGCAGCCGCGGCCAGCGCCGCCACCCCAGGAGGCGGGCGGGCGGTCAGCCTCCTTGCTCCGCGGTGTTCCGCGGCGCTCCGCGCTCGTCCTCTTTCCCCCGCTCCCTGGGAAGCAAAGGTCACCGCTTGCGCCCGGTCCGGTTCCCGGCCGCTGCCGAGCTGGAAATCAGGAAGCAGCGTGCCCTATTTGTCAAGTGTTTGACAGCTGAGTTCATTAAGGCTTAAATAAGGAGAAATAAAAGTAAAAAATATTTACGTACCGGGCGTCTCTTTTTCAGCAGCTACCAAAGAGCTAGGTGTGCAGGGAGAGGAACTGCACCCTTTGTATATTATATTCTTGGGATCTCTTCAGTTTTCAAGTCTGATAGAGTCCTTTGCTTGGCAGATTAATGACGACTCCGTGTTTCTTAAGGGACGTGCTGAATTAATTATTTCGCAAATCACGTGGTCAGGACTTGTAGAAATCTATTCTTATCATCTTCCTTGCACTTTGAAATTCTGCCTGTTATGACTGTTCCTAGCAAGATTATTTTGGTCTCTAGGCTTGGGGGGAAGGAGAAAAAAAAAAAAAAAAGAAAAAAAAAAAGGAAAAGGAATCAGGGGAAAGGGCTAACAAACATGGCCGTTGGAAGCGGTGTGGCTCTGCACCGAGAGGTCCCTATTTACTGTACTGTACAGTGAGTGGGGTTTGCTATTGACTCTGCCTTTCCTCTTCATTCTTACCTTAACGACTAGTGGTGATATAATATACAGAACTGTATTGATGTATCGGGAGTAACAGGAGGAGCTATTAAACGAGAGAAAGTGTAATCACAAAATATGCCTCAATATTTAAAGTTAGCGACTGTGTGCTTAGAAAGGCACCCTCACCCTTCCCTCCACACACTTGGGCAGTAGAGGCACATGTCTTCTGCTGTGCACCCTGCTCCTTGCCTGGGCTGAGCCAGAGACTGTGTTTTTGGACTCGTGCCTTGACCACGCTCCAGGAGAGGACAAGCCCTCAGTGACAAGTACTTATGACAAAAATAGTGCAATCGACTTCTCCTGGCTAGATGTATGTCTGAGGTGTTTACACAGGGGAGAAAAAAAATGTTTACCTTAGTTGCACGGGAAAGTTTAAAATCTCCAAGTTTGTGTTTTCTTGTGATCTTTCTTTTGTATCCACTGTCAAAATAAAGATTACTGCTCAGGAAAAGCTACTCTCTACATTGCAATTTCAAATTTCCATTTCTTTCTTGAACTGGTTCGTTCCAGGACTCACCTAAAAGGCACACATCTGCGTGGGGATCGAGGTGACTTCAGGTGTGGCTCCTTGCCTCCTACCACACAGGCAGAAATCCGGGAGTCATTCTAGGAGGGCTTGTTAAATGCAAAGCAGCAGCAAATGGATGACAGGCACTTTTAACTGCAGCCTAAAAGTAAATATAGACTCCAGCTTGGCCTAGAGTCACACCATTATGGCTGGGGCAAACAGCAAACCTGTTCAAAGGGACATTTGGAAGGATGCTATGCAGAGTCACTCATCTTTTAACACTGTAATGATGGGAGGGACCAGCATTTTCACAGAAGAGAGATCCACCTTGTAAGCACTGTTTGTTCAAGGTACAAACCAGAATCTATTTCGCTACACCTTTTATTATTTCAGAATTATGTGGAGGTCTTACATCAAAACTACAGGCGACAGTTAGTATAAATAACGCTTTAATCAGTGGCAGCAAAACGTCAGCAAAGTCTATAAAAAGCATCACACTTTAACAGAGATGAGAGTATTTGCTGAACAATGCGACCGTTTAACAAAGGCTCCAATGCACAACGTTCACTCATGATAAACAAAAATAACCAGCTTCACTTCGTACACAGAATATCTCTGGAGAAGGGTTAAAACCACTAAAAAATAAACCTCAGGTTCGTTTTGCACAGGAGATAAGGACTAGTGAGTGCTCCTGGTCACTATTACAGACATTCCTGACCCATCAGAGCACTGGCAGCTGAAAACTACTTCTTTTTGGTACTTTCTGCCTCCACTTCAAGTATTCTCCCATCTTACAGCGCAATTACACCTATGTAAACCTACAGTGCCCCGGCCTCGCTCAAAGGGTGCTTGCAAACAGGGTTGTAAGAGCTGTGCCTGCTGAAGCCAACACTCGTCCCGGAGTTATTAACATTTCAAAAGACAATGAGACAAATTCTGCTCGCAGCTACATCCCTGTTTGACTTCAGTGGGCGGGGGAAGGTAATCTGGGAGCAGAAGTTGGTCCTTTAACTTCGAGAGCCATCTCGCCATCTCGGTCGATTAGAAGCACAAAGCAAGGATTTGCTTATCCAAGGCCATTATTTTCCAGAACTGTACCACAGATGCCAAAGTAGGTGTCTCTCTCTCTCATACACAACACATTTGCCCTGCTCCCAGCCAACTTATCACAGACTTTAAGTAAACAGCGGGGGTCCGGCTGGGGGATTTTCAAGAAGAGCAGCTAGAGAGGTTTTATTTCTCACACGCCACCTTCCTTCCCCCCCACACCCACCCACCCCCGCCCCCCTTAATTTTCCTAGATTCGTATGAAGAGTGAAAGGATGGCTTTGAACAGCTCTGGAGAGGAAAGGCCACTACCGCAGGAACCTGATGTAACAAAACTTGAAAACTTGTCTCAGGAATTCCCTCCTCAAGCGCTGCTGCTAGCTGCTCTCCATACCAGAGAAAGGGAAGGGTAGTTTGGGTCCAAAAGGTTAAGGGTTTAGAGGTCACTCTTCCCGGCTGAAATACAACTAATCGAATAGAAAATTTGTCCTCTGGGTGAACCTGTTCCTGCAATTTAGCCGAACTTCAGTAAAATACCTTTTCAGCTTCTCAACGTGAAGGCGTCAGAAAAAAAGACGTCTTTACTATGTATGAACTCGGTGCTTTTTGTCATAGAAACAATGATGCGAATAATGCGGGAATATCCATCTTTAATATCACGACGTGGAGACATTCAAGTATTGCCATGTGCAAGTCTGAGAACTGGGCTAACCCTAAGGAAGAACAAAGAGTTTTCTCCAGGCTCTAAAACAAAAGACCAAGTCTTAAAGACACTTTGCGGACTTCTAGGGATGAGAAAAAGGCAGAAATTAACTGCTGGCCACAGTTAACGCTGCAGAATACACCCTTGTTGAAAAGTTCGCCTTTTGTTTTCGGATTCATTTAATCCCATTTTGGCCACTGTTTTCCCGAGCGAGCCCAAAAGCCTTGAGTTCTCGATGGTAAGCACCCAGCCTGGAGAAGGGCACATTAACTCACCCCCTGCTTTTCCTCCTCCCTTCGGTGTTTGCTATGAGTTTCCTTCTTTGCCCCTTTTCTCTTTAATAAAGGCATCACCTCGTTACAATTTCGACGATATGGTTCCTCTCCCAGGCTGCCCTGAGGGTATAGGAGATAAGGGCTGAGCTTTAAAATCGCCTGAGCAGAGGTGTAAGTGGCTGAGGGAGCTGGTTTGGTTGGCTTTCGTAGTTATAGCGCACTAAAACTTTGGCAACCAGCAGTCAGGAACAAATCAGTGAGTATTAGACGAGCTCTATTCCCATGCAAGCCTATCCTCTTTCCATGAAAGCAACTTGCTGAGCTTTCCAACCGTTGCAGTCATGTGTCATGGTTTTCTTAAAAACAATCACTGTTCTTAAAACAAAAAAAAACAACAACGCCAAAAATCTAAACAAACCCAAACCACAAAAATCCAACAGACGAAAATAAACCTAAAACAAAACAAGGCAGCAGCCAACATAGCCTATCTCTCTTTAGCAGAAAAGAAAATTGAAATCTGATTGAAATAATGTATTCAGTCTTCAGCTTTGAATGGCTCAGGTTATATCAGAAATCACATTAACTTTTCACCTTTTTTTTTTTTTGGGTGATGGTTTTATTGTCTGTTTCGAGTTTGTTGGGGTTTGGTTGTTTGGTTGGTTTTTTTTTGGGGGGGGGGGTGGTCTCCTCTCTTATTTTTTTCTCTTTTTTTCCTTTTTTTTTTTTCCCTTTTCGTTTTTAAATGAGGTATTGATGGTTTAAAGCACAGCGCTGACTAGCAGACTTTGGAAACAGATTTCAAGCCTGTAAGCTCTGGATGGCACATGGTAAGGAGCAGGGACGCTTTTCCTATTCACAAAGGAGGGAAATAATAAAAACTAAAAAGGGGGGACAAGAAAGTTGTGTACGTTCACACAAGTAAACATTACATAAGTGATCATGAGACTGGGAAGGAGAAACACTGTGTTTCAGCTCCTCTTCCCCGTTTTTGGTTTGACTATTTTTCTTTTTGTTTTCACTCTTCTATGTAACAAATAAATAATTACCCTAACACTATCAGAACATAAAATAACCCGTTTTCACTTAATTCCTATGCACACCTTCTGAGACGTTATGGAAATGAGCAAGTATTTTCATCACACCAAGAAAGGTAAAGCAGCACAAAAAAAGTTCACATTTACTAGTCTTTAGGTTCAAATAAAAGACTATACTATGAATTTCCTGTCCTCAACTTGCCCAAAATGCATCCGTGCGCAAATTACATGGGATAAAAAGACAATTAAAAGTATAAATCCCAGAATAAAGCATCCAATCTTCACTTTTGAATTCAAAACTGAAACACAGGACAGTTTCATTTTCAATGATTTATTACTTTTTAAGGACAGAAGGTCTCATTTAATATTTTCCCAATTCCCATTGCCTGCGTGATGGTTTGGTTTTTTCTCTTCCCTTTCTCTTTCTTTCCCCTTTTTTTGTTTTCCTGTTTTAGGTTGTGCTAGAAGAGGCAAATAAAATAAAGTCCAAAGTAGCGTCATTTTGTCTCCTTTGTACAACAGTACCTTAAAGAAAGATGACAGTTTCTCGTGTCCTTAGCTGCTACATGCAGGTTCTGCTTGGGCAGTGTCAGTTATGTACAGTACTGGTCAGAAGCGAAGGATGAAATGGAAAATTTCACCTCTTCTACAAAGTTGTCAAGTCAGTCTGATGGTCCTTGGAACCAGTTTGTAAATGGGGGTTTGAACCAGATGAAGAAGACCTGCCCTTCGTGTTGGGCAGTTTGTGATCTTTTTTCCACTTCATTCTTCTGTTCTGAAACCAGATCTTGATCTGGCGCTCAGAGAGACACAAAGTGTGGGCTATCTCGATACGGCGGCGCCTGGTCAGGTACCTGTTAAAATGAAATTCTTTTTCCAGTTCTAGGACTTGCTGTCTGGTGTAAGCTGTGCGGGAGCGTTTAGGTTCCCCTCCGTTGTAATTGGGATTCACTGGGAAAAAAATACGGAGAACTTTACAAAGCTAATCTTGATTTGCCGTTTCGACTTTACAAAAGAAAACCTTATGAGCTGCGAGCATGTGGCCGGGCTGGATTCGTCCCAGTTGCTTACAATGGACGGGCTGCTCTCCCCCACGCTTGAGGCAGGCACTACGGGCACACGCAGCTAGGTAGTCTGGGAGCCTCTAGCAGGCTCCTAAAATGGAGTTTTATCCTGCATGGCAAAGCCCCGCGTGGCCAACAGCCTATTTCCTCAGCAATAAAAATTTATGGCGAGTGTAATTGGCCACCTCGGCTTAAAAAGCTCGTCCACGAGCCTGGCAGGGACTCGGGCAAGCGCCGCTGAGGACGATCGGAAGCAGGGTAGAAGAGCAAAGTAAGAAGAGGATCCTTACCCGAGTTTACATGGACTTTCTTCATCCAGGGATAAACTACTGCTGGCTGCTTAACTGCGGAGCCGTTTGGGGGTTTGAGGGCCGGCTGCTGGCTGCAGGCTCGCGAGTTGGACATTGGAGGCGGTGGACAATGCTCTGCTGGGCCGGGGAAGTGGCTCGCCGGGCCGGATTGCTCCTGTCCGTGACCCCGTGGCTGCCCGGCAGAGCCTTGGGCATTGCTACAGCTAAAGGGCTGCTCGTTGTAGTTTGATCGTGGGTAGAGTCCCTGGTGCTGGAAATCAGAGCCCTGCGAGGCACTGTAGTACTCGGCCCCCTGCTCGCCTAGGTAGCTATTCTGCAAATATTCCTCGCAAGGAGGAAATTTGGGATCCACATACTTAGAGTTCACCATATACGAACTCATGGCCATTAATTTCTGAAGGTAGAAAATACTAATTTTTCTCGTGTTGTCTTTTTTTCCCCTGCCATAGAGCCCTCCTACTTGCTGTCAACTGAATAAAGTTAGGCGGGCATGTGACCGGCCCGGCCAATGGGGAGCCGGGCGCCCACCGCCGCATTTCCCCGCATTTCCCCCGATTCCACTCAATAACATCCCTTTAACCGAGTGACCCCCCTCTCCGGCGGGCCGCACCCCCAAATCAGGTACCAGAGGTGTAGGGGTACCCCGGGGAGGCGGCCGCTGCCCTGCCCACAGCCTTTTGTCTGAGCCGGCTTCCCCCAGCCCCGGGGGATGCAGTCCCGCCGCCTGATTTACCAGCCAGCATCACCACCGGGGTTTAGTACCTCGCTTTAAATAAAATTTAAAAAAAAAAAAAATAGAAAGGAATATACGGAGCGATGAGCTGAAGCGGGGTTTAAAAGGGAGGAAATCGGTAAGCAGCAGAGGAAAAGAAAAGCCATCAAAGAAGAGGGTAATATGATGTACAATAGATCTGTCCTGTCTTTGTCTCGCAGAGGTCATCCAAAAGTTACCAGAATTTAGTTCTGCTGAATAAAATTAGGCAATCAGTAACTTCTCATTCACTTTCAAGTCTCAATATATACGCGTGCATACGTATGCGCGCACAGACGCAAACGCCAATGTATAGATATAAATCTATACATGTGTGTGTGTAAAATCATACAGATGGCAAGAAACAGTTCACTTTTAACTACAAAAGTTCAATCAGCTGAACTGGAGACGTCATTTAATTAGGTTAAAAGTATCACGGGTTTAATTTGATAAATTCGGTCTTCATTCATCAGTATCATTCCTGGAGCACAAATAAATACATTCCAGTGAGACGAAGGCTGCTTTTGCTGCTTTCGTAAATATTTTGGTGCGATCTGGACCCTTGACAGGGAAATTTTGCTAACTCTGGCATATCTAACTAATTTATGAGTATCTTTTAAAAGAGTCATTCACTGATTGGTAGATAATTTCTTTCTTCTCCCTGCCCTCCCCCCCCCCGAAAATTTGTAACTTCTGGTGAGATTAACTGTTTAAATTCACAGATTTTCAGTGAAAGTTAGGACTGAAAGACAATTGAAGTTTTTAAAAAAAGTCCTAAAACCCAGCAATTAGGAGCGAGGCAGCAAAACTTTCATAATTTTGAGTGTTCAGCACGCATATGCCTCTTGATTCCACCAGTATTTAAACTTCTAACCATTTGCAGAAAGGTGAAGTTTTTGCATCGACCATATATTCCCCTAGAATCGAATCTGTGACTATATGAATATCACACAAATTCGGTTCTACAGGGTATATATAGACAACGTAATAACATTCTGTTCTCATCTATAATATAGCAGGTCTTTGCAATTCTCTTAGTCTCTTACTGTCTTCTGAGGAATGCAAACTATTCTGCTGGGACCCAGTTCTGAAATATGGATTTGTAGGAAGGTGGGATTTCGGAAAAGATTCACTCTTGTTATAATTGCTGCAATAGAGCTATACGAGTCTCCACCAAATCATAACGACGAATTTCGACTACCAAATTCTCAGAGAGACCTGCCGCTCTCTTTAAATCCTCTGCCGTTTACGTACTCGCTACCGAAAATGGACCTGATCGGTCAAATGGTGCTATTTGGAATAATAATGGTTAAAGTAATTTAGAAAGGAGTCTTTAACTATTTAGACTAACACGAATCCGAAGAGATTCTCCATAATCAGAAATCCCCCCAAGCCCCAAATAAAAAAGGAATTAAAAAAAAAAAAAAAAAAAAAAAAAAAAAAAAAAAAAAAAAAAAAAAAAAAAAAAAAAAAAAAAAAAAAAAAAAAAAAGGCAAAAACGAAACAGAAGTAAAACAGCCGACAACAGAAACAGCAGTTGGTGAAAAAGATGAGATTAAAGGCTGGAGTTAGTTGCTCTCGGGAAGAAGAGAGTTTCCAAATTTACCTTCATCCCATTATGCTGGTCTAGCTATTATCCCCATGAGCTGCCCGCGAGCCGCAGCCTCGCACCCTCCCAGGTTTTCCCCGCCGTAGCGTTTATGGTGAAGGGCAGGGCGAGAGGTCAGCCGAAATCATTTACAAACATATCACAAAGTTTCATTATTTTTACTTTGTCGACAGCGGCACACAGGAGTACAAAAGTTCATGAATTGTGTCTGACCCAGCTCCTCACTGCTGTCCTGCGGTCAACCTCTTCTCCTTCCACTATTTAAAACAGGCACCATAAGGACAAATAATGGTGCGGGTGTGATACATCCAGCCACTGCGGAGGGCAGATTTGGGGGTGTTGCGCTTATCCGAGCGATGTGTACCGGTTTGTTTGCCTGGCTCCAACTTCCAATTGCCTGATCTGGGAGATCCTATTTTTAAACATCTGGTTTCTTACCACTGCGGTGGTGCCTTCTCCACAGCAAGTGCAACTCAAAACGACTTCATGTCCTCAATCCCCCCCGTCTTATTTAAATCTCCACACAACTATTTTAAGCGCCTCGCCCCACTTTCTCCTCCTTTCTCAGAGGGGAGGGGGATACCCCCCGCCTCCGCGGGGGTTATTAACCACCCGGCTGAACTGGCACGGTAACATCCCCCGCCCCCCAGTGCGAGCTCGCGTTTGGGGCAGCCCCCAGGAGCGGACAAGCCCGCCGAGGGCTGCCCAAGGAGAAGTGAAGGGTCTGGGGAAGCAGCAGCTCCCCGCTCTGCTTAATACTACACATTTTCATATTTGTTAGACGCTGTGACCTGCGTTTCACCTTATTGCACGACTTGCTCAGACAGGTCAAAGCCAAAGAGTTATTGATGAACAAAAGCGTTATATATTCACCTCCTGTTCTTCTGCCCATACAAAATACTTTTGATCTATCAGGCTTTTTGTATTCTGGTTCTTAATCAGTATGCTAAATGTACGTTAGCAGAAAACAAGTAATCCATACGTCTAAGGCCGGCCTCGGAATAAAATTCCAAGGGCATCTACGTAGCGCAGGGCTGAGCTACGAGGGGAGGAAAGTTACCTATGGAACATAATTAAAACTGCAATGCTGAAGGCGATTCTTTAGTTTGTATCTATAGGGCTTGAAAACCAATATAGCCTCGTAAGGCAAAAAGACAAGGAGAAGCTAGGCACAGGCAGTGAGATAGATTGTTTATCAGGAAGCAGGGAGAGGAAACGGGGAAATGCAAACAAACACAGTTCCTCTACATGCTCCCGGTCAGAGCGAGACTGGCAGAAGCAGAGAGGGCAATATACAACCTAATCTCCAAATATTGCGATATTTGGAGAAAGCTTTCTTTTCCTCTTTGAGGGACGAGCCAGTCTCAGCCTGGAGCACCAGAACTGATGGTCGAAGCTCCTCACTAGAGCCAGAAGGGTTCAACAGCATTTCCTGATGCTCACTTATCTGCTGCCCTCCTCTCGGTCCCCTCAAAGCAGCTCAAGCAGGACCATCTGGGGTGCGAAAACCCCTACAATAAAAGATTGCCCTCCTAAGCTCTGATACCCGTTCCCATGCCTTTATAGCATTTAAATCCACGTTAGAGCCTTCCCTGCCCGGAGAGACCTAGCAGCAACGGTCAGCTCTACCGCCTGCAGCTGGGCTGTCCCGGCTGGCCAGCGCTGACCGCTCCCAGCTCCCACCACCTCTTTCACCCAGTCACCAGGCTGTATCAAACGAGGGTAACATCAGAAAGCAGGCACAGCTCTACTTGGGATCCCATCTGGAGAAAAGGGTGGGAGTAGCCAAGGTTATGAGGCGCTGGGACACAACGTGATCCGTCCGAGTTCTGCACGGGGAGGCGCTGTACAGTCCCACCTAGTTGAAATGGAAAAGC